CTGCCTGCCCCCTGCCGGCCTGCCCACATGGGCCCCGCTGCAGCCTGGAGGCCCGTCGAGTGTTGAGGGCGCCAGCATTCTTTCCCTTGCCTGAACCCACACTGACCCTCCAGCCCGCCCTGCTCCTGGTTTGCCCGCGGCGCCGAAGGTGCCAGGCTGCTGCAGGCCAGGAAAGCGCAGGCGGTGGCCGGAGCTGGTCTTTCTGGCCTCACGCCGCGTGCCCTGGGCACACAGGCTTTTGCAGAAGCCTGCTTGCGAGCAGCAGGATCCGGTGGGGACGCCCGGGCCTTGACCCCTTCAGCCCTGGCTTCCGGTGTCTGCTGCTGGCTCCCCGCCTCCAGGCCACACCCCACAACTCCCCACCCGCCCCCCGCTGCAGGGCGGCTAGAAGATGGAGGCCTTGAGCAGTCCGGCCTGGCCACTCCTGGGCCCGCCTGTCGGCGCCTTCGAGCCGGGCAAGGGGCGACACCCGTCCTGGCGCGGTGACCGTGGCACCAGGCCTGTTCCTAAGAAATAACTCACTTCCTCAGCGCTCTCAGCCGCCTCCCTCTGCAAATATTAGTCTGAGCCCTTATCAAGTTTCGGTGCCCAGGCTGTTTGTCAGTGAGGGGAGAGGAGTCGAGCTGGGCTTGGCCACCCACTTTCTCGCCAGGCCTCAGTTTCCCCTTCTGCAAATCGTGGTGCTGCCAGATGGTAGCTCCTTCGCCCACCGCTACCCTTCTTTCTCTTGCCCCCCGCCGAGGCCCCTGCACACCTCCTGCTGGTCTCCCTGCTTCCAGCCTCCCTTCACATTCCCCTCGGCCAGTGCCAGGCAGGCCTCAGGCCAACCCAGCCCACCCTGAAGTCCCAGCCCGGAACCTCCAGACCTCAGACCCAGGGGCCCCCTGTCTGCCTGGGGGCGTGCAGCCACCTCTAGGAAACCGGCACTGCCGGGGGCAGGGCCCGGGGTGCTCGGCCCCCTCCTAGCCCACCTCTCTGTAAACGCCGGCCGGGCAGCCCCTCCAGCCCAGACCCAGACCGCGTGAGCCAGCCCCCCTCCCCCGACTGCACGAGCGGCCCCCACCGCCCGGAGCCACGGGAGACACTGCTCGCCTGCCGTGGCCCTTGAGACATCTGCAAGCTTGCGCTGGACCCCAGCCTCGGGCCAGAGCCCCCACAGCTTGCCCAGCCCTGGAAACCACGGGGGCCGGGGAGCGGCTCCGAGGGTGAGGCGCAGGTGGGGAGCACACATTCCACAGGTGTCCTCCCGCCCCGCCGAGCCCCTCTGCCGTTTGCTCGGACCCGCGACCAGAGCGCACAGCCCGCTCTCCCGCACTCTCCCAACAGCACCCGCCGGGCCCAGGCGCTGCGCTGGGCAGTTCAGTGCTGACCTCTTAAACAACAAACACCCAGACAGGCCCTCAGCGGAACCCCAGTAAGCCCAGTGAGACTCAGGGCTGAAGGGCCCCCCAGGAATGCAGCCCCACCTTCAGGGACGGGACTTTCTGGTCAGCACCAGGAGGCCATCCTTTCCGCCCCGGCTGAAGGTCGCCACCTGCCGCGCAGAGCCCCAGACCGGCCGCTGGTTGCCAGGCCTTGCCCGGGGCAGACCCGTCCGGGCTCGAGCGGCTTTTCACTAAGCCCGTCGGACCTTCAAAGGTACCTGCTGCAGTTTGCCACCTAACACCCCAAGACCCGGGGAAGCCCAGGAAAGTGTGGGTGCACTGCAGTGGGGGAGGGTTCCTGACCAGAGTTTGCAACAAAGAGGAGCCGCGCCCCGTCCACCCTCTGTGTCAACACGGGCCAGGCCTTATTAAGCGCCCAGCCTGGGCCCAGACACTCCTCGCCGCAGCCTGCGGACAGCGAGCCCCGGCAGCATGACAGAGCTGGAGACAGCCATGGGCATGGTCATCAACGTCTTCGACCGCTACTCGCAGGTGGAGGGCGACAGGCAGAGCCTGACCAGGGGCGAGCTGAAGGTGCTCATGGAGAAGGAGCTCCCCGGCTTCCTGCAGGTGAGCAGGGAGCGGGGCGCGTGGGGGCACCCGGCCCAGGGGGCAGGCCAGCCGAGCTGCCCAGAGGGGAGGCACGGGAGCGGCTGAGAGCCTGAGCTGCAGCCCGGGGGCGCGGGCAGGAGGCCGAGTCCCAGGCCTATTGCTGGCCCCAGGCTGGCCCTCCGAGGCAGCCTGCCCACCCCCCTTGCCCCATCCCGGTGTCAGGGAACTAGGGGAAAGAAGGGGGAGCCCCAGGGACCTCTGAGCGAGGCGCCCCTCTGCCTCTCGGCCCAGACTCCCACTCCCGGCCTCCCCTCCTCGTGCCCCTTCACCTCCAGCTGCCTGATCTCCCCGACCCCCCCACAGCCCCGCCTGAGCTGATCCTGACTCTGGGAGGTGCCAACCTGAAATCTCCCCGAGCAACACCCGAGGGCGCTGTGCCCCGATGCCGTTTCTCTTTCTAGGTCTTTATGAGGTCCGTCTGCTTTCCTCTCTGTAAATGCGTTTGTGGTAGCAAGTGTCCACTCCCTGTCTGAATGTGATGTCACTGGGTTCCCCAGCTCCATGGGGGGCGGTGAGAAGGGTGGGGTGTTCTGCCGGGCACGGAGCGGAAGGCTCTGTCCTGGGGCATTTGGTCCAGGAGGTTGGGGGAGGCAGGGGCGGAGGCAGCTGAACCCCGGGACAGGTTTGGAGCCGTGGCTCCCCCCCAGGTGGGGAAGCCCGCTCCGGTGTCCACAGGGGCGGCGGACCTGCGCCAGGGTGCAGAGCCCGGTGAGCGCCATCCCCTGTGGCTCGCCCTCCGTGGCTGCGGGCGCTGCCCCGTGGGCCCCCAGCCCGCTGCCCTGCCCCTCGGCCGAGCTGTTCCCCTACGTTAGGGACATCGCCCCAGCGCTGGTCCGAGGTCAGGGTGGACCTGCCCCTTTCCTTGGTGTATCCTGGGAGCAGCACTGACCCCTCCCATGCCCTCCCCAGCCCAGGATGGGTCATTGTCACCCTGCTGCTTCTGGGGTGTCCAGCTCAGTGGCGCCTGTCCCCACGGAAGATGGTGCTGCCACCGATGTGGGCAGACATGCAGAGACCCCGGCACCCCGGACCCGGGGTCCCGCCAAAGCGCCCTGCAGAGGGGAGAGGGGCTGGGCCCTCCAGCCTGCTCACACATCCCCGCGGGCCCTCTGGGCCTGCAGCGGAGGGACACTGCTCCGGCCTGGCATGGCCGGATGAGAGGCCTTGTGTGTTTGATAGAAGCAGTGCCCCGAGTCTCAGCGAGGCAACGCCCACAAAATCCAGTAGTGGAAACGCCCCAAGTGCCAGGGCAGTCACCCTTCGAGCCACGCCCTCGGAGCCGAAGCCAGCCCCCCCCAACACACACACACCCCATGTGCCGTGCGTCCTGCAGCTCAGAGTCAGCGAGAGCCTGCGAGAGGCCCGTCGTGCTGGCCGGGTCTCCCTGGCCGAGCGCTCGCTGGCCTTCCCTCTGCCCCCAGGGGTGCGGCGCTGAGGATGGGGCCCACAAGGTCCCCACAGCTGACCCCGGCCTCTGTCTCTAGAGCGGGAGGGACAAGGACGCTGTGGACAAGCTGCTCAAGGACCTGGACGCCAACGGAGATGCTAGCGTGGACTTCAGCGAGTTCATGGTGTTCGTGGCCGCGCTCACGGCAGCTTGCCACAAGTACTTCGCGCAGACAGGGCCCAGCTGACCCCGCGCCCCGTCCCGGAGAGCAGAGCCCTGGCTTCCAGAGAACCCCATGGGGTCAACAGTTGCCCTCTGATTAATAAAATGCTTGTGAAGTGGCCCGGTCTCAGGGAAGCGTGATTTCCTTCCGCGCCTCAACAACCCCGTGAGGCCTCCCTGGGGCAGGGGCGGCTCAGGCCGTCACCCTGAGGGCCCACACGGGCCCTCCTCTCTCCCGCTGCCCTCTCAGCAGTGACGTCAGCGGACCCGCCTGCTTTGCTCCCCACTCTGGTGAGTCTCCTCACTGGACTGCACCCCAGTTCTTCCATGCAAAATAAACAAAATCTTTTTTTTAAAAGATTTATTTATTCATACAGAACTGGGGTGCAGGCCAGAGATGCGGAGGGTGAGAGGATTCACCAATACCTCGTAGTGGGCACTGGATAATCATTACAGACTTCAGCCCTGTTCGAAAAAGGTGGGAAGGAGGTGAGCGCACCAGGAGTGACTGGCCCACAGTAATCCTGCAGCCCCTCCCTCCACTACACCTGCCGGGCTCTTGGTCCCACTTTGCTTTTACATGGAAAGGGGCCTGGGGAGTGATTTCGTCCACTCCCAGTGGATGCAGAAGCTTGGGAGGGTCACCAGTCCTCCGTTTGCACCAAGGGGCCCCTTCCACTTCAAGCTGTAGGGTTTCTTCTGGTATAATGATCTTTAGAACTTTGTG